CTAGAGATCACAAAAATAATCAAGAATTAAGGACTGAATTTACATAGTGTTCATAGTAAAACAGTTGACAACACAAATGGGAAATAAATATGCATAATCTGACAGCAATTGCAGAGATGTGACTGCAAGGTGACAAAAACTGTTTTAAATATTCAAAAGCTCATGGTGTTGAGGAAGGACAGTGAGCTAGGTAAAGGCAGAGAGAGGCCACTGCCAGTTAAGAATGATGTTGATACAATAGGGACTTCTGTGGTTATTGAATATAAAGATGTACAGTCAGTTCGGGTAGTGACAAGAAATAGTGAAAATGAAAATTCTTTGAGATGTTCATAGACCTCCTAACAACAAGCAATCTTTTAAGGTGTGTAATTTGGCAAAAGATAATGGGGGGTTTTGTAAGAAAAGTATGGTAATTAGAGATGGGTGCTTTTAATCCTGGATAGATTGGGCGAATCAGATAGGAAACGATAGCTTGAATGATGAGTTTGTGGAATGTTTTAGAGACTGTTCTGGAGCAGTGTATTTTAGAGCCAACAAGAAAATAGATTACTAGGTCTGGTAATGTGTAGTTTAATTAATGACCCCATTGAAGGTCGTTCTGTTTCACTAGAATTTTGGAAGATGACCGTCGATGCATCCAATATTTCACGGCCACTTCCTTTTGAACTCTGTACTTTCAGTCTAATTGGGCAAGCTCAACATGGTTTTGTAAAAGGAAACTCGTGTTTAATTTACTGGATTTATTTTAGGAAGTAAACGTTTGACATGTTGCCGCATCAAAGATCACAAAGCAAAGTAAGATCTAATGAGAGAGTGTTTTGGCATGGATGGAAGGTTGACAGGTTAACAGGAAGCAGAGAGTAAGCATAAATAGCTAGATCTCTACTGTGTTTTTGAAAAAAAATCTTTCATGGGATGTGGGAGTGATTGATGTACCTGTCCCTCATTGTTTTTTTGAGGTCAGTTAAGAGTAAGCAATGCTGGTGTTACTTTGCTGTCACATATTGGACAGACCAGCTTAGGACAGCAGATTTCTTTCCATTAAGTACAATTGTAAGAGATGTGAATCTTGAGCAACAACTGATTTCATGGTTGCTTTCAGAGTTTTTTATTTTTGATTAATTTTATTAAATGATTATGAATTCTGTTAGTTGCCCCAGTGGATTTGAACTAGTGTCCGAGCTATACAGCTCGGAAACAGACCCATCACCCAAGCAATGGCTTTGACTTTGGGATTACTCGATGCATTACCACTGTACACAATCTCACCTTTACATCGCTTTGCTGCCAATTGAGGGAATGTTGTTGAAACTGGAGACAATTTTCCACATTAGATAGATGCAAGTGTTGAACTGCAACAGTACCAGAATTATGTCATAGCGGAGAATGGGCCAAGTCACTGTATTACACATACTATAAAAAGATTTTCCAAGGGTTTGTATTCTATTCTGGCTGCATACTCTATAATCCATGTTGTGAGAAGGAAGAGTACTGAATGCTATCCCAGATCAGTTGTGAATATTAGATCTATTTAAAAGACATTGGATAAGTGCATGAATATGAAAGGTTTGGAGGGATGTGGGGTAAATGGGACTAGGTTGGTTTGGGAACATGGTCAGCACGGACAAGTATCACCAAAAGGCCTGTTTCCATGCTGGATGACGACTATGACTGACTGTGACTATGACTGAGTTTTACAGTACAGAAAAGAGCCCGAAGGCTCATTGTGTCTATGCTCGTCATCAGCATCATCTCTTCCAGTCCCATCTTCCATACTTCAGCCCATTGTCTTGCATACCAGGGCACTACAAGTGATCATCTAAATAATACTTAAATGTTGTGATGATGCCTACCTCTAGCATCCTTTCAGGCAGTGAGAATCCCAATAACCAACCACCCTAAGGGTAAAAAATCTCTTCCTTGAATCTTGAACCTTATTCTGTTGCCTTATTCATTTCAAGAGTATGTGGACATACCCACCAGTGTCTCTCTGAACCTCTGTACTTCTTAGGGTCCTCCTATTCATTTTACACATCTAGTCACCACTGCAAAATACTCAGTGAAGGCCTGTCAAACATTATTTCCTCTGACATGTTGACTGTCCTTGATTAATCCTTGCTGCTCCAAATGGAGATTACATCTGTTCCTCAGATGTCAGACTCACTAGCCTATAGTTTCCTGGTTTAATCCTAAGAAAAACAATTCCAGCCTACCTAGGTCTGTCTCCATAGCTGAAATACTGCATTTTGGGCAAAATCTCTTGAATAATGGTGCAGCATTAGCTGTCATCCAGTATTCTGACACAGGAGAGGATTTGAAAATATTTAGGGGTCCAAGATTTCCTTCCTTACTCCTACAGCAGAGCAGTACATCTCATCTGGGAGTGGGAACTTATTCAGCTTTAAACCTGCTAAAACCATTATAACTGAGTGCCCCACGCAACTAGCAATTGTAATTTGTTCAAGTATGCTAGTCCTCTTCACTGCTTTCTGTATGGAAAAGAACCATTTGGTCCAATTTGTCTATGCCAACTAGGTTTTGTAAACTGAACTAGTGCCATTTGCCTGCTTTTGGCCCATGTTCCTCTAAACATTTCCTATTCATTTTACCTTCTAAATGTCTTAAATGTTGTAATTGTACTTGTTTCTACAACTTCTTCTGGCAGCTCATTCCATATATGCACCACCCTTTGAAAAAGTTGCATCTCATGTCCCTTTTAAATCTTTTCCCCCTCACATTAAACCAGTGCCTTCTAGTATTGAACTCCTCTACCCTGAGGAAAAGACTTGGCTATTCACCTTCTCTATGCCCCTCGTGATTTTCTATACCTCTATAAGGTTACCGCTCGGCCCCCTATGCTGTAGGGAAAAATGTCCTAGCCTATCCAGCCTCTCCTTAAACTCGAACCATCCAGTCTTGGTAACATCATTTGCAAATCTTTTTTGTACTCTCTCTTTTTTCAGTTTAATAACATCCTTCTTACAGCAAGGCGACCAGAATTGTACGCAGTACTCCAGTATATCCACATTGTTCCTCTCTATCATGAATGATGTAAAGTACTCACTGAAAACCTCACCCACGCTTTTTGGCTCCAACATTTGGCCTGTTAGGCTCCCGGGTTATCTTCTTGGATAACACTTCATGTACTTTTGGTTCATCCAATCTAAAGCCTTGTCTCCTGCACCAACTCTTCAGCCTCACAATCATTCGTTCTATCTGCCTATTTCTATACTCGGCACATGACATCAGGCGTAATCCTAAGATTGCAACTTTTGAGAGTCTGCTTTTCAATTTGCTACTTAACTTTGGAAATTCTTGTTGAAGGACTTATCGCTCTTACAAATGTGAACTATGACCTCTGCTTACCCACTTCAAGATGCCCTGCAGCCATTCAGTGACATTCTTTAGCCTGTGTCCAGGGTGACTGCGCACTGGAGCAATGGCGTCCTGGAGTAACAGAAACTCCTGTCTGTACTTTTCACTGAGTCTCTCAGCACTGTAGCCCTTCCTCCCTGTCTTCTCCCACCTTGTGCAGCTGAGTTCTGATTGTGTATTTCACAGAGGAATTGTTGCTCTCACCGTTTTCCATTGCAGGAAAACTGTTCTTGAGTAAGATGCATCCTGGCACTTTGCTAACTGCCTGCTTTCTTGTGACTGGTCGCTCATTCCTTCCCTGACTGCACTTCCTTAAGCTGCAGGGTGACCATGTCTGGAAACATTAACTTGCAGCCTCACAGAATCACTGTTCCTTCAACTGAATCTCAACTGTAAAACCTAACATTCAAGCTCATCAAACCAGTGGCGGTGCCTGCAGATGTAACTGTCCACACTGTCTGGAGCATCTTCATTTTCCTACATGTTGCAGGCTGTGCAAGTTTCTTGAATGTCATTTGCAACAAGCATCGTCCTCTGTGGCCTGCATATTATTATGATCTTGCCCCAGCGATATGCAGTTGCCCTTCTTCCCTCTGACAGCTACCTCGTTCCAATCTTGCCTTCCTCTCCAACCCCTATGCTTACACCCTGCCGTTTTGTGACCCACGTCATGGCTTGATAGTTGTCACAAGCCCCTCTGAGAAAGCAGGATAGGGAACGTAAGAACCAGTGACAGAAGGAGGTGGAGCTCTGTAGCAGCCATTGTTGTCTAGGCACTCGTAACTCCCCTTGGATTCCTTGTCCCCTCAGTTTGGGAAGCCCTGTCATCGGTCCAGGTATCTATTCTATTTTTAACTGCTGGTTCTTCTGTTCTGAAATTGCACTGATCCTGGGCCCGATCGAGTGCGGAAGTTTTTTTTTAAATTCATCTGTAGGATATGGCCAACATGACCCAGGCCAGTGTTTATTACCTATCCCTAGTTGTTACAAGTCAATCACGAGAAGTCATGTAGGCCAGATCAGATAAGGATGACAGATTTTCTTCCCTAAAGGGTGTTAATGAATAAGATGTACTTCTACCCCAATAGATTAATGGTCTCCATTAAGTCATCTTTTGTATTCCAAATTTTTATTGAATTCAAATTTCAGTATCTGCCATGTAGGGAGCACTATTTCTGGATTACTAGTCCAGTGACATTACCATTACACTACTGCCTGTTCAGTGCAGGTTTGTCCTGGGGCTTCAGCTGATATTACAGCAAGCAACTTGTACCACTGGAAGGAGTGTAGTCAGTTTAATAGTACTGCCTGGTGAGATTTTTATTGCATGCTGTATCTTTTATAATATTTTAATTTTGCAAGTTATTTCAGCTAAGAATTCAGAGCTGTCCATGTATGATACAGTATTTCAACCAATATTGTGCTTTCCAGGTGGGAAAAATCTGAAGGAACATAACTCTGGCTTAAACATCGATTCCTCTGGAAACCTGTGGTTCACTAAAAGATTTTCATAAAGTTCTGATTTTTAGCAGTCGCAACTTTGAGTGGACTTGATGCATCTCATCCCAGGTGTTTACATAGACTGTCATAATAACTCACTTATTTTGCTTATTGTATCATTTCAGAGCTCAAAAAGGTTTGGTAAGCAGACCTCCAGTAAATTTGGCACACAATTCTCAAGTTCCAGGCCACCTAGTCAAATTATGGAACAAAAATTAAGGATGGAATTGAGGGAAGTCTCCTTGTAAGAATAAACGTTTGGAGACGGAGTAATGAAGTAACTGATACCGCTAATATTTTTTAGAAACCTGATGTGAACATTTGCTAAAACAATTTGTGAAGGAAGACTCTGGGCTGAGGCAACTATTCTTAAGTCTAACCAGTTGAAAGTCTGAAGTATCTCTGACTTGGCTTGTTAACATGCTCAACAGTTAAAGAGCAAATGTTTTTGTTTGTCTAGCATTCTTGCTTCTGAATGGTCAGGTGTAGTTAAGTGTTGATTGTTTAAAATGTGAAGAAAATAAAACTATTTGGAAATCTTTGATTTGTTTATATTCACTAACTGCCACTGGATTTCATTAAGATCTGTGTAACTGAAGTTGCAGGATTTTTAAAACAATAACGCAACATTTCCAGAAAATAGTAATTTTTAGAAATTCATGTGTGGTGTTAGCCTGCAATCTTGCCTGAGGCTGGAGATTTATGATGCTGGAAATTTCAGCATTGTTTTACACTGGGGATTTTCAGGTGATGTGCAAAGTGGTATGTGAAAGACAATGTCATGTGGGAAATTTTAGGTCTGGGAAGTTGGTGGGCGGGGGTGGAAAACTGAACAATTCAACATTAGTTTGAAGTATAAAAGGAGGAGGAGAGTGTTTTGGAGCAAGTATCATGAAAACATTTGAATGGGAGTTAGATTTATCTGAAAGTGAAGAATATACAAGGTTAGAAGTAGAAAGCAGACAAATTGCACTAGAAGTTCATTTGTGGTGCCTGTGTAGACATGATGGGCTAAATGGCCGCCTCCTGCTCTGTGCAGTTCTGGATATTTTAGGTTGTTCTGAAATGGGTTGTAATATGGGTAGTGATTCCCACAGGTAAAGAGCCACTTCAGTTTGTGGTTAGTGATTTGGATGGAGGTTTGTAAAGAGTGGTGAATCTTACAGATAAAACATAGAATTGTACAGCACAGGAACGGGCCCTTTGGTCCAGGATGCAGTGCCGAACGTGACACCAATTTAAACTAATCTCTTCTGCATATTCATGTGCGTATCTACAAGTTTCTTAAATGCCCCTATTATATCTGCACCCTCACTGTGTGGCAACGTGTTCCAGACTCCTACCACTCTGTAAAAACACAACTTGCCCCTCATCTCCTTTGAACTTGCCCCCCTCTCACCTGAAATGCATGCCCCCTAGTATTTGTTATTTCAACTCTGGGGGAGGGGGGGGGGAAAAGATTCTGACAGTCAACCCAACGTATTCTTCTCATAATTTTATAGACTTCTATCAAGTCTCCCCTCAACCTCTGCCACTCCAGAGAAAACAACCTGAGTTTTTTCTAGCCTGTCCTTATGGCTCATACCCTCTTATCCAGACAGCATCTTTGTAAACCTCTTCTGCACCCTCTGTAAAGCCTCCACGTCCTTCCTGTAATGCGGCAACCAGGATTGAACACTAAGTGCGGCCTAAGCAAAGCTTTATAAAGCTCCAACATGACATCCTGACTTGCTCTCAATTCCTCGACCAATAAAGGCAAGCATGCCATATGCATTCTTCTCTCCCTCCCTCCCCTCCCTCCACCCCTCCACCCACCCCCCCCATCTACTTGCATGGCTACATTCAGGGAGCTATGGACTTCAACCTCAAGGTCCCTCTGTACATCAACACTGTTCAGGGTCCTGCCGTTAATTGTATACTTTTCTTAAATATTTGAGCCCCCAGAGTATAGCACCCCACACATGCCCAGATGAAACTCAATCTGCCATTTCTCCACACACATCTGCAACTGATCTATACCCAGTTGTATCCTTTGACAACCTTCTACACTATTCACAACTCTGCCGATCTTTGGTATCAGATGATACCAAAAAAAGTACAATTAAACTTTAGACAAAAGAATGGAATAGGTGTAATAATAGTTCATGGAATTCACTGCCCACAAGTGTGGGGTTTTTTTTGAATAGTTCCATCCCACTGCTGCAAGTGCAGTAAGAATGATTTAGGATACATGTATACTATTGGATTTTAAATAGGCCACAGAAACTTGTAAATCAGTGACTTTAGCAGCAAGGAGGTGGACAAGTAAGGACAGCCCATGGGGTGGGTTTTGGGAGACTTGCTAATCTTTGCTTAGTTATTAGTGTGCATTGTTGTAACATCCTGTAACACATTTTCAAGCCACAATGGCAGCAGATTAATTTCTCCAACTGAAATTTGTAATACATAAATAAGACTTATAATTGAGTTTATAAAATGCACATTATGCAGTAACTAAATGTAGTGTATTCATTGGATTGTTTTGAACCTATCTTTTATTTTGTCAGGAAGTTCACCTTCTCTGGAAGGCCTAAGATGGTATTCTACATTGTATGGAGAACTGTAACACTGCATACCAACCACATGCATGAATCCCTGGAATACTTAAGGAACACTACTTTGGCCTAGTACTGTCACATTTTCCCATTTCAATCATTATTGTCTTTATACAATGTATTGTATAATACATTCATTCAAATAAACTTTACCATACAAAAAATAAATTTAGGTAATGTTTATATTTAAAATAGAAATGACGGCTATCTACTGGTTTCACATCTGCAGTGTTTAATTATAGTCGAGTTATAACAATGGAAAAATTCATATGGTTTGTACTTTTGAAACATTTGGAAGATAACTGAGTAGGTTTTAAATAAAAGCTATTCACTTTTACTATGTTCAGTGTATCACACTCAGAATTGTTTGTTTGTGCGTGCTTTTTCTTTGAACAAATGTATTGAATCTTAAAGACTTCCCAATGGAGATAAATCCTAGCCTCTGAAATCAACCATCTCTCTGATCATTTTGGGTCTGTGCTGCAAATCCTAAGAAGTTGAGCATAGAAGAGCGTTTAAAGGTGCGTTGAAGAAGTTGGCTGTTTGGCAGAATCCGTAGAGGTCACTGAGACACTGGCCTTGTGCAACAATGTTCACTTCATCTGAACTTTAGTCCCACGTTTCATGTTTTGAGTTACAAAAAGCCATTTGTACAGTTTGCTTTTCCACTAAAATTAACTATAGGTAAAATACAAAGGGTGAGGCAGGTGACACAACCAGTTCTGATAGAAAAATCTAATTAGCACTCTCCAGATAAGGTGAGCTTTGCTGTTTTCATGCACAGTAATCGTGGGTCTGACCATGAGTCTGCTACATTGACTTTAGTCATACTCATCTGGCATGGAAACAGACCCTCTGGTCCGACAAGTCCATGTAGACCATAATCCCAAAATAAACTAGCCCCATCTGCCTGTGCTTGGCCCTTATCCCTCACCTTTCCTATGTATGTATGTATCCAAATGTGTTTTAAACATTGTAACTGTGCCTACGTCCACCCCATTTTCTGACTGTTCATTCCACACATGAGCCACTTTTTTTTTAAAAAAAAAGGTTGCCTACTGTGTCCTCTTTAAAATTTTTTCTTCTCCCACCTTTAAAAGTATGCTCCCTGGTTTTGAACTCTCACACTAGAGGAAGACATTGTTATTCACCTTATCTATGCCTCTCATGATTTTATAAACCTCAGTAAGGTCACCCCTCAACTTCCTTTGCTCTAGTGAATAGTCTTTCCAGGCTATCTTTACATCTCAAACCCTGTATTCTTGGTAATATCCTGATACATCTTTTCTGCCCCCTCTCCAGTTTACAAAAAATGTTATCACTGGTTCCCTGGCCACATGAGTGTTTTTCTAGGTGGTGGAAGTATTGAATAAAATTATTTGCACAAAGGGTGTCTTCCTGTGCCCTTACACAGAGGAGGAGAAAAAAAAAGTAATATTCTGCCTGTAACAGAGCATGACCACTGGTTAGTACTGCTGTCTCACTGTGCCAGGGACCCATGTTCAATTCCCACTTCTGGTGACTGTATTGAGTTTGCATGTTCTTCCTGTGTCTGCATGTGTTTTCTTTGGGTGCTCTGGTTTCCAACGCTGTGCAGATTAGGTTGCTTAGCCATGGGAAGTACAGGGTTACATCACTAGGATAGGGATGTAGATCTGGGTGGAGGCTCTTTGAAGGGGTGTGTGAACTTGGGCTGAATGGCCGCCTTCAACACTGTAGGAATTCTATGACTCTTTTATGAGAAGAGGCCTCACCAATATCCTGTACCACCACCTCAACATGACATCCCAACTCCTATACTCAGAAGTCTGACCGAGGAAGGCAAGCATGCTAAATGCCACCTTAACCACCACGTCCACTTGTGATGCAGATTTCAAAGAATTACGTACCTGAACCCCTAGGTCACTGTTATACAACACTGCCCAGAGTCCAGTCTATTGTACAAGTTCTGTCCTTAGTTGTATTACCAAAATGTAATATCTTACATTTATTCAAATTAAACTCGATCTGCCGCTCCTTGACCCATTGACCAAATTGATCAAGATCTCTATAATCTTAAGTCACCATGTTTACTGTTCACTACGCCACCAGTTTAGGTGTCATCTGCAAACTTACTAATGATGCCTGCCATGTTCTCATCCAAATTATTTATATAAATGACAAACAAAAGTGGACCTATAACTGATCCATCTGGAACATAACTGGTCATGGGCCTCCAGTCTGAAAAACAGCCCTCTACCACCACCACCACCACTTGGACTTCCAAGGACTGCTGTGAAAGGAAATGGAAATAACCTATAATTCACATCCGGGTTTGATTATAGAGCATGTTCTTAAAGCTTTAGGCTGTCTCTAGTGTTTTGTGATGGCATAGTGGTATTATTACTGAAATCTTAATTCAGAGACCCAGATAAAGTTTTGGGGACCATGGCAGCTGATGGAATTTTAATTCCATGTAATTTCTGGAGATTTTGAAGCTTGTGAAATCCACATTGATACCACTGGGCTGCAGGGTTCCCAAGCGAAATATGAGGTGCTGTTCCTGCAACCTTCAGGTGGCATCGTTGTGGCATTGCAGGAGGCTTCAAAATCTCCCCTCACCCAACCGCATCACAAAACCAGCCCAGCTTGTCCCCACCTCCCTAACCTGTCCTTCCTCCCACCTCAAGCCCCACCCCCATCTCCTACCTACTAGCCTCATCCCGCCCCCTTGACCTGTCCGTCCTCCCTGGACTGACCTATCCCCTCCTTAACTCCTCACCTACACTTACTTTTACTGGCTCCATCCCTGCCTCTTTGACCTGTTTGTCTCCTCTCCACCTATCTTCTCCTTTATCCGCCTCCCCCTCTCTCCCTATTTATTTCAGAACCCCCTTCCCCTCCCCCATTTCTGAAGAAGGGTCTAGGCCTGAAACGTCAGCTTTCCTGCTCCTCTGATGCTGCTTGGCCTGCTGTGTTCATCCAGCTCTACACCTTGTTATCTCAGAAACTTAGGGATACTTGGGCACAAAATAGAAAGCCAGCACATAGGTGCAGCAGGTAATCAAGGAAGGCATATAGAATGTTGGCCCTATTTTCAAGAGGGTTGGAGTATAACAGTAGGGAAGTTTTCCTGCCACTGTGCAAGTTGGTGCTGGTGAGACCACTCCTGGGAATACTGTGAGCAGTTTTGATCCCATTTTTAAAGGAAAAATATCATTTCACTGGAAGTATTTCAAAGAAGGTTGTCTAGAGTAATAGTAAGAACTGCTGATGCTGGAGTCTGAGATAGCACAGTATGGAGCTGGAGGAACACAGCAGGCCAGGCAGCATCAGAGGAGCAGGAAAGCTGACATTTCAGGTCGGGAGCCTTCTTCAGAAGAAGGGTCTCAACCCAAAACATCAGCTTTCCTACTCCTCTGATTCCTGGTATTCCTGATCCTAGGCTTTCCTGGGATTGTCTTATGATGAAAGGCTGAACAGGTTGGGACTACTCATGTTGTTTAGAAGAATTAGAGGTGATCTCATTAAGATAATGTAGAATTCTTAGGGGACTTGACTGGGAAAATACTAAGAGGATGTTTCCCCTTACGAGAGAATCTAGGACGAGAGGGCATAGTCTCAGAATAAATGGGTGTCAATTTAAGATTGGGATAAGGAGGAATTTCATCTCTGAGAGTTGAGTGTCTTTGGAACTCCTTGCTACAAGTACATGGACAACAAGAAGAATCAAGCCAACCCAGTAAATTATCACCCTCATCAGTCTATTCTCAATCATCAGTAAAGTGTGGAGGGTGTGATGAAGTGTCCCATCAAGCAGTACCAGCTCAGCAGTAACTGCTCACTGATGACCAATTTACATTATGCCTGGGCCACTCAGATCCTGACATCAATACAGCCTTGATTCAAACATAGACAATGGTGCTGAATTCCGGAGGTGAGGTGAGGTGAGAACAAAGAACAAAAGAACAAAGAACATTACAGCACAGGAACAGGCCCTTCGGCCCTCCAAGCCTGCGCCGATCCAGATCCTCTATCTAAACCTGTCGCCTATTTTCCAAAGATCTGTATCCCTCTGCTCCCTGCCCATTCATGTATCTGTCTAGATACATCTTAAATGACGCTATCGTGCCCGCCTCTACCACCTCCGCTGGCAACGCATTCCAGGCACCCACCACCCTCTGTGTAAAGAACTTTCCACGCGTATCTCCCTTAAACTTTTCCCCTCTCACCTTGAAATCGTGACCCCCAGTAATTGAGTCCCCCACTCTGGGAAAAAAGCTTCTTGCCATCCAGCCTGTCTATACCTCTCATGATTTTGTAGAGAGTGACTGCCCTTGACATCAAAGCTACATTTGACCAAGTGTGCCTTTAAGGAACCTTGTAGTCGTTGGAGATTGGTCATCTCAGGACATCTTCTCAAGGAGTTCCTCAGGCTAGTGTCCTAGGCCCAACCATCTTCAACTGCTTCATCAATCACTTTCCCTACATCATCAGGTTGGAAGTGGGGATGTTTGCTGGTGATTGTACAAGGTTCAGCACCATTCATGACACCTCAGATACTGAAGCAGTCCATGTCCAAATGCAGCATGACCTGGACAATATCTAGGCTTGAGCTGACAAATGGCAAGTAACATTCACGCCACACAGGTGCCAGGTAAAGGCCATGTACAACAAGAATGAATCAGATCAGAGGCTAGGAATTTTGCAGCGAGAAACACCTAATTGACCAAAGCTTATATACTATTTACAATGCATAAGTCAAGAGTGTGACGGAATACTCCCCGTTTGCATGGATGAGTGCAGATCCAACAACACTTGAGAAGCTTGACTTGATCTCGAACAAAGCAGCCTACTTAATTGGTGCCACATTCACAAACATTCACACCCTCCACCACCTATGCTTAGTAGCAGCAGTGTGTACTATCTACTAGATGCACTGCAGGAAATTCACCCTAGGCTCCTTGGACAGCACCTTCCAAACCCATGATCACTTCCATCTTGAAGGGCAAGGCCAGGAGATTCATGGAAGCTTGATACTTCAATACAAAAAAAAATGGAACTATAAACATGAAAATATATCATTATTCCTTCACTGTCACTGAGTAAAAATCCTGGAACTCCCTCCCTAATGACATTGTAGGTCTCCCTAGAGCATGTTGACTGCATGTTCACCACCGCCTTCTTTCTCAAGGACACTAGGGATAGATAATAAATGCTGTTCCAGAAAAAATGCTATACTGTCATTGTTCTTTCACTAACTCCTGTGAGAAAGCACTGTTGGTGCATCCAAAATAGAAATGTCAATTTGTATTGAGAAGCTCCACCACTGCTTGAATCATTCTTTGATAGGAATTCAGTCAAGATTTCAATCTGCAATCTTGCATTATCATCCTCTACTCCATCAAAATACTGAACTCAGTCATCAACATGTATCTGAAATTCAACATAGCGATAAACTTAAATACAAAGGCTGATGACTGGCTGCTGAATGAAATTTTAGACCTTCACCCAATAAAACAGATGCCTGTTCAAGTTGCTGTTTGTATTAAAGAACAAGCTGGATGAACTTTAGCAAGATGAGCATTGATAGTAACTCCAATCAGTAATTTATAGATTCCCTACAGTGTGGAAACAAGCCCTTCAGCCCAACAAGTCCACACTGTTCCAAATGAGGATTATAGAATCCTTACTGTGTGGAAACAGGCCCTTCAGCCCAACAAGTCCACACTGACCCTCAGAGCATCCCACACAGACCATCCCCCTATAACCCATTTCATCTAGATATCTCTGAACACCATGGGGCAATTTAGTATGGCCAATCCACCTAGTCTACACATCTTTAGACTGTGGGAGGAAACTGGAGCACCCAGAGGAAACCCAAGCAGACACGGGGAGAATGTGTAAACTCCACACAGACAGTCACCTCAGGGAGGAATCAAACCCAGATCCCTGGTGCTGTGAGGCAGCGGTGCTAACCACTGAACCATTGTGCCGCCCTATTTGCAATTCATTTCAGCTATGGGGTTTTTGTAACAGTCCAGAATACAACTGGAGGTTTAAATTTATATGCAGATTATGTATCCAAAGTCTAGGGGTACATGTCTGAAGAAGGGTCACTGGACCCGAGACGTTAACTCTGTTCTCTCTCCACAGATGCTGCCAGACCTGCTGAACTTTTTTAGCAATTTCTGCTTTTGTTTCTGATTTCCATCATTCACCATTCTTTTTTTTGTTTCTTCATTCTGTCATCTTATTTAAGTTTTAAATTCTTTGCATTCCGCCTGTGAGATACAAAGTGCTGAAGACCTTGCCATTCCTGATGGAAACATAGAAGGGCACCACTTCTTGCCTTTGTATCAGGAGCCAGGCCCCACCACCCCATGTTTCATACATACATTTAAACAGCCAGTGGTGTGCTCTTGAAACAAATGCAGGAATAGGGCTGGGATGGCTTTCCATTGGAGTATTCCCATTAACAATCCAGCAGCTTGGTGCAGGCTTTAAAGTATTTACTGGGGTAGGCAGGAAGTCTCTGCATCAGGGCTTTCATGGCTTTACGTTTTGTGGATTAGTCAAGTCAATTTGCTTTTACAGCCCTTCATAACCCTCTGCTGCCTTCCAGCTTATCCTCAATGATTTGTGCTGTCATTAAAATCTATTGCACCTTCCCCAATCACATCTAAGGGTTTCACAAGTATAATTCTATAAAAGACAAGTTCCATGATTCAGTGCTACTTCTCAGGCAAATACTAGAGACCCACATGACCCACCTGATGACCTGACAGAACCCCTGGACCAAGATTATCAAGGTGGTCAGCTACCATGAGGCCTACTAAGATGTTTGGGGCAGTGCTGGAAGAGATTCGATGACTTCCTCCGATCTACTGAGGAAAGGGCCAAATTGGCATGGCACTGTCTGTAATGTGAGCATCAAACCTTGTTTATGTAAGTATGTTTAGGCAGGTGAATATGTAATCAGCCTCAGGGCAGCTTGGCACTTGAGGCCAAAGCATGTGACAGTTTGGCTTGAGTGGATACAACCTCATACATTGATAAGCAGGCCCAGAGCCGGAAGGAAAAGGTGAAGGCAAGACAGACTTCAAGATTTTCAGCATTGCTGAGGAAGAAGCTTCCAGGTTACTGGGAAAAGGGAAGTTGATGGGAAGGCTGGAGTGAAAAAGTCAACAGAGTGAGAAAGCTGCCTGAGTAGGCACGCAGCATCAGATGGGGAATTGTCCTGTGCTCCTTGACACCTGGAACCTGACAGAGTCCAGGCACCAGCCATTCGGATATTAAATTTTCACCTCTCAGCAACAGCGACTCAGAAGATGCACTGGCACCTACCTCTCCCACATTCTGAACAAACTCAGATACACCCATCCGGCTGTTGAGGGGTCATTTCTAGAATTAGAGCCCCATTCTGGGGAGCACAGCGCAGACTTGGCCCCAGCAGCAAACGGAGACTGTGATAGCCTGGATCCTGGATACTAAGAGATCCACCTCCAACATGACAGGCTCCTGATCATGGAGAAAAGAAGCCTCCAAAAGAAGCAGACGTTAAGGGAGTATGAGGTGGAGAAGTCAGTGGCTTTGCTCAGTTTTGTGACGCGTGTGTGTATGTATACCATATGGCCTGCCATGTATCCTTTACCTGGAGACCATATCACAGAAACTGGCAGCCTGGTCCGAGGTGGCCATCCAGGTCATTGCTGTCTTCAAGGTCTGGAGGAACGGCCAGCTGTGCCATGAGATTTCTCCTCGCCACCAGCTTAAATGCCACGAACTTCTCTGCTTTCTCAACCTCACTCTATCTCTGCTTGTAAAACCCACCTACAACCAAGGCTCACTATTGCTAGAAACATCTTCCCTCACTCTGTCTCTTGAACCACCCCAACAGTCTCACATCAATAAGTCCACCAGAAGTGGGCAGATGCCATTGAGACACATGTCCAGCACCCTCAGGTACAGACACCAGCATTGCATCTCTCCAGCAATTGGTCCTCATGGCCAAAGGCACACATTCTAGCTGTCCTTCCTCATAAAGATGGGTGGTGAGGGGGGGTAGATGCTGTTGAGTGGTGTCAGGAGTCACCCAGTCCCACACTGGAGTGGTGGTCAGGTCCTCCACCTTCCATCTGCACATCCCCTTTCCGACTCTTGGAGGAGGGTCCAGACATTCAACATGTTAGGCTCATCTGGACACAAACACCCCTGGATTTCCTGACCAATCCTCCAGGGCTAACAGACTTGTGTCAAGCAGGTCCCTCCACCCCAGCTGCAGAACCAGGGATTACACTGAGACAGAGTGGGAGAGAGAAAAAAAAAACAAAAAACATTTTGAGAGCATTGTGGTGGCACAGTTGATAGCTCATTGTATGTCATAGGTTTTGTACTACACCTGTTTGTTTGAATCTTTGTGCAGCTCCAAATGTAAGTGTGCCAGCATGATATCTGACTTCCATGCAGGATGTACCATGAATTGATGTCTATGTTGAGAGCCTGCTGCAGCATCTGAAAACAAGAGGAACAAGGTGCATAATGGAGCAATAGGTCCTGCTAATACCATTGCCCCTCTTGAATATCCCTATTCTTTCCCTGGCATCCGTGCAATAACAGTTGTTCTGAATGAAGTGGTCAGCAATATGTAGAGTAGGGAGATGTATAACTCAGAGGGACCCAATGCATTGTATCACCAGGGATTAGGGCCATGACAGTTTTATAAGACTTGACTAAGGCTATGGTTGTAGAATTGGCAAAGGAGTTAAAGGTGAGATTTCCTGAAATAACAAAGAAGGCAAAGATAATTAATATATTAGCATAGATAATGATGGCAATACAAGAGAGACTGGGTGCTCCAAACATTAAAGGAAGTTATACGTAAATACTGTGTCTTTTTTCTGTATTTTTGATTATGAACTGAAATGGGAAAAAGACTTTTAAAAGCCAAGGACGGTGGGAAGGATTACTGCACTTACAAAAAGCAGGTTATTGGCACTCATCTTAAGTACTGCTTCAACAGCTGTTTATTCAAGCATTAGGGAAGATTACTGCAGACGGATTGGAACCATGAGGTATGTGCAAAGAGAGATTTGGCTCATAACAAGTAGTTGGCTGGTCTGTGGAGTGCTGACCAGTTGTTGATGACAATGGTGTTCTACCTGCCAACAATTGTGTGATTTGCTGCCAGCTAGCTGAACAGCTTGTGAGTATGAATAATATCATCAGAAGCCTTTGGACCTCCAGGGAGGTCAGTGGCATCTTTTTTCTCATCAGTAAAAAAAATACCTAAAGCATGAAGCAAGCCAGTTTGTTTTCCCTAGTGTCACTGTAAGCTGTGGCTTCTAACCAGTTACTGAAAGACTTCAAAAAATTTATAAACTAGTCATTCTTTGCCTAGTCATGCAAGCCAGTAAAAAATACCAGGAGAACAGAGATCAAGGAGCAGTGGGTCTTGACAAGCCAAAAAGATCATCCCAGAGAACCCTCTGGGCAGAGACTTTTGAACAGCCTTCCCAGTTTTTCCCTCCATCTAGAACATCTGCTTTTTTTTCTCTGTGTATGTGTGTATAAGGAGTTTTATAAGGAGGTTAGAGTTTTACCTAGTACAATTACATATTGACTACTGATAATTGTTTACCTGTAGCTAAAATCTATTTATTTGTAATGAGTAGTGATTCTTGTTATGTACAGAAACTGGTCTATGCTTTCTATCAACCTGAGTCAATAAAAACAGGTAAACTGGGGACTTTTGTATACTTTTATAAAGTGTTTAATTTTTGTATGGAACAGTGGTGCCTGATTTCCAGCAGGGTACCCCAGTGAAGTTTGATAAAGTTTGTGGGCTCATCAGGAATCAATTTTGAAACAGGAGCAACAAAGATTTGGGTGTGGAATTAGTAAATAACAAGTTAAAAAGAATGTCAACTTCCATAATGCATTTAGAAATGGTGCTGGAAATGGCAGAGGAATTCCTGCAGGTGACACAGTTGTCCCTAACACTCATATGAACTTCCAAAACCCAGGTCGATTGAATTAACAAGTAAACTGGAGGTAGCATTGCCTGACAAGAGCTGGGAAGGCAGAAATAATGGTGGTACTAGCATTACACATACCCTGGAGGTTCCAGTAGTGAAACATTGGAATCAGGTGAAATTCAGTTACAGTTAAAGCAACTTGAGCATGAACAAAAGATGAAAAAGCTGGAGATAGAATTCCAAAGAGCAGAAAAACAAAAGAAAGAGAAATGTAAGGTAGAAAATTAGAATTAGCATTGCAATGATGAAGAGAAGAGGAAGAACATGAATGTTGGCTTAAAATGATGCCATTGAAACAGGAGATGGCACGTACTGGTTCTAAGGATGCCTAACCTGAAGAAGTTACCCTCCTCCCTCCGGACAAACCTCAAGGGATCTCTCTCCCACTGCAACTCTCTCGTAATCTCTTCGGCCCTGAAACTACTCGACCACGTCCTGAAGCAAACCAGGTACTACAGCCACATCACCTTCCTTAGCACCTGCCTACGGAACCAGATCATCCCCAATGGACTACAATCCACATTCAAGCCTTCCCAATTTGGCCCCAACCGTGATAATATCTACACTCATGGCGTTGAGATCCTTCAGAAGCGTTTCTCCCTGCGACTCCTGAAACACACACTTGCAGCAATGCGCCGGCATCTCCAGGCACTACAATCAAGCCTACCCCAGCTCAGAGCCTCCCTCTCCCAGACCTGCAAAGGACCTCTCCTGTTTTTTATTCTACGTAGGATCCACAACCTGAACTCCCAATTCTACTCAGCTTTATTGGACACTAAAAACCGTAAGTACAGTAAACTTACTGGTGCCTACCACCGAAAACGGGCTTCCTCCACCCCCCAAATCCCCAGCCGTACCCAGGACCTTCCCCACAATGGGTCCGCCGCCATTGGCCATGAGGCCACTATCGGAGAACCCACAGATGACGTCACATCCGCCACCGCCGGGTTCCCCACTTCCGGGACAGCAAGCACCATCGCTGCCGTTGCCACCGCCACTGAAGTCGCCACCACCCTCACCGCTACTGCCGCCGCCTACCCCGCTCCTCCTACCTCCGACGCCGGTCCGCCCATCACCGACGCGGACGCAACTCCACCCACCGCCGGCGCAACTCCGCCCACCGCCGACACCGGCACAACTCCGCCCACCGCCGACGCAGCTCCGCCCACAGCCGACGCCAACACAGCTCCGCCCACAGCCGACGCCGACGTAGCTCCGCCCACCACCTCCACAGCCAGCAGCTCCAGAGGAGACAGCAGCACCCAGCCCTGCCGAGTCTTCACCATCCCTCCAGACCTACCCCTTACTGAGGACGAACGGTCAGTCCTCAGTAAAGGGCTCACCTTTGTCCCCCTTCACCCACAGATCAACGAATACCGCTCACGCTTGGACA